CTAGAACAAGCAGATGCTATTAGGCTACACTAGCATGTGACAGGGATGAATGGAGACATTACTGATGCTCGTTCGAGCTAATCCATGAATAACGGGATGTCAAGTGATCAAGTGATTAATTTTTATTGCAAAATTTACATGCCAGCTGTGATGCTTAACCTTTTAAGATCTTTATAAAACTAGTTTGAGTTCATATTTCTTTGTTTCTGAAATTTCAAAGTTCATCTTGCAATTTTATCACATTTCTGGTAACCTTCTGTTTCCATGGATACTGAATCCTCAGCACTTATGGTTATTATTTTTTTTCCTCTTCAATTCAGTGCATATATCAAACCCAAATACTGTCACAATTTTTAAAAAGAATTACATTTAATAATTATGTCTATGGTATATCTTACTGAAAAAAGAACTGGTCAGGTTTGGTTAGGAGATTGGAAGGGTTTATATTATAGCAGTGGAATCAGTTTCATATAGAATCACCAGATAATTTTATTTTATTGCTTCCTTTATCATCTCTAGATGCCCCTTTTTTCTATATTGTCTTTCTCAACTTTTTCTAAAGGTCATATTTTTTTATCTTGTGCAAACTAAATAATTTCTGATTCTATCATCTTGGATATTGTTTTATAATTCATTCCTCAAATTTCATATTTTGTGTGTGTATGTGTGTGTGTGAGTGTGTGTGTGTGTGTGTGTGTGTGTGTGTCTGTGGCCTCTGAATAGTGCTAGGGAAACATAGGGGTCCATATCAGGAACATTCAGCAAAGCAGATTGGGTGAGTCAAAGGTTACGTTGAGTTATGTAAACTTCTAAGATTCAGTGGTGTCAGGAGACACCTTGACCACCTAAGTGGTGATTAGAGACCTCCTGGGTTATACCAGTGGTGCTTGTGGGAACATATATTGCCAGGGATAAAACCAGGTTCCTTGACCATGTAAGGCATTTATCCCCATCACTGAGCTATTTCCCTACCTCATTAATTCTCAATTTTCACTTAACTATCTTTTAATTGTGTCACAGAGAGATACACAGTGACAAAGTTGTTCAGGATTGGGTTTAAGTCATATAATATTCCACCACCTGTCCTTTCACCAGTTTCTTATCACCAATTTCTTCAGTTTCCTCTCCTCACCACCTGACTGCCTCTCTGACAGGCAACTCTCTCTCTCTCTCTCTCTCTCTCTCTCTCTCTCTCTCTCTCTCTCTCTTTCTTTTTGGGTATTTTGGCTTGCAATACAGATACTGAAAGGTTATCATATATTACCCTTTATCTACTTTCATCACCCAATTCTTGTCCAGAGTGATCATTTCTAACTAGTGTTGTCGTAGTTATCCCTTCTCTATCCTAACTGCCTTTGCCACCCCACCCACCACCCATACACTTTTGACAAGTTTCCAACCATGGACCAGTCTTCCTGACCCCTGTTTTTTCTGGCCTTGGATATGAGTCCATACTATTTTTTTAAATGTATATCCCACAAATGAGTGTAGTCATTCTATATCTGTCCGAGCTTGCAAAGCAGTGCAGTGAAGAGATGTGATCAAGGAAGAACTCAAAGAGAGAAGAGCAGAAGTGCTGGTAGATGTGGCAGAAGCTAGGAAAAGTATTCGTAATGCCTGCCTGTCCTTCACCAACTACAAGACCAAGATGACTGCCCTCTGATGTCCTGATGGATCTATCACATCTTCCAGAAGGGCAATGGAGAAGATTATGCATGACTTCTACTCAGATCCCTTCAATAGCCATGTCTACCTGCTAACATACCAAATTCCACAGAATGGATATGTCGTTTCGAATGTTCTCCCTTCCAAAATCCAACAGGCCATTTTGACAGTAAAGCAACGAACAGCACCCGGCCCATACAAGGTCAGATCTGAACACCTGAAGAACCTGCCGTCAGTACTCATCAATATGCTGGCTCGACAATTCACATGCTACCTGTCTGAATGCAAGGTTCTATCCCAGTGGAAAACCAGCAGGACTGTACTACTGTACAAGAAGGGAGACATCCACGACATTGGCAACTATCACCCAATCTGCCTATTGTTTGTCATCTACAAGTTGTTCACTCAAGTCATCCTGAATAGGATTGGCAGAACACTAGATGAAGGACAACCATGTGAGCAAGCCAGGTTCCCCAAAGGATTCAGCACCATCGACCATATCCACATGATAACCAAGTTCATTGAGGTTTCTTGGGAGTTCAAGATGCCGCTCTGTCTAACGGTCATTGGTTTAAAGAAGGCCTTTGATTCTGTTGAGTCGAAAGCAGTCATTGAAACCCCAGCCAATCAAGGCATTCAAACTCAATACATCAGGATCCTCCGTGAGCTGTATTACGAATTCACTACCAGGATCTCACCATTCTACAAAGAAGTAATCATTGATGTCAAGAGAGGAGTTCAGCAGGGTGATACCATTTCACCGAAACTCTTCAGTGTCACCCTTGAGAACATCATGCGACGACTGGAATGGGAAGGAATGAGTGTGAAGATAGATGGTCAGCAACTATACCACCTCCACTTTGCTGATGACATTGTTTTGATAACACCAAACTTTAGCCAAGCGGCACAAATGCTGGCCGACTTTGACCGTGAGTGTGGAAAGGTCGGACTACAGCTGAATCTTACAAAGACAATGTTTATGAGAAACAGCCTCGTTCCTGATGCCCCATTCGCTCTCAACAGAATGACCATCTCCGAATGCAATAGCTAGTGTACCTAGGTCGAGAACTCAACATGACAAATGACCTGGCACCTGAGCTGTGCAGGAGGAAGAGAGTGGCTTGGAACGCCTTCAAGAGCGTTGAAGAAATAGCTTAGAGAACGAAGAACCTCCAGCTCTGGGCACATCTCTTTGATTCCACTGTTCTTCCTGCATTAACATACTCCTCTGAGACCTGGGCCTACGCAAACAGGATGAGAATGCTATTCTGGTCTCCAAAAGAGGAATTGAAAGAGCTATGCTTGGAATATCACGTTTCACTCAAATGAGAGAAAGAATCCGGAGTTCCGACCTCTGTCAATGATCAAGAATCAGGGACGGTGTCTTGTTTGCCAAGGCATCAAAAATCAGATGGGCTGGTCACGTAATGAGATTTAGAGATGAATGCTGGGCTAGAGCTGTTACCGACTGGATTCCACGGGATGTCAAAAGACCGTGTGGCCGCCCACCTACCAGATGGTCAGACTTTTTCATCAAGATCATGAATGATCGGTTTGAGGCTCTTCGTGTTCCTAGAACAAACAGACACCATTGGGCTACACTAGCATGTGACAGGGACAAACGGAGACATTACTGGCGCCCGCTCGAGCAAGTCGACGATTAATGGGAAGTCAAGTGATCAAGTGATCAAGTGATCTGTCCATACTCTTTTGACTCATTTCACTCAGTGTGATACTCCCATATCAATCCATATATAAGAAAATTTCATGACTTAATTGTTCCTAACAGCTCTTTCATATTCCATTGTGTAGATGTACTGTGGTTTTTCATTTTTAAAAATCCAGTCATCTATTCCTTTTTTTTATTGAATCACCATGAAATACAGTTACAAAGTTTTCATGTTTGAGTTTTGGTCATACAATGATCAAACACCTACCCCTTCACTAGTATAATTTTCCACCACCAAAATTCCCAGTATCATCCCTGGCCCCTGCATCCCAACCTTCCATTTTCATTTCATTTTTCATTTCATCATCCTGTTATTCGTCCATTGCCTCGAGCAGGCCCCAGTAACGTGTCTTTCATCCTAGCCCTGAGATTATATTCAAGGCTCTTTAGGAGAATGAGACCCATCATTGTTACTGGTATTTGGCATATTTGGTACGCCACGGGGAGTTTGCCAGACTCTGCCCTGTGGGCAGGCTACATTCGATAGCCTGCAAGTTTGTCCAAAGTAGGAATGAGATAATAAGATGTCATAAAAATATGTCCTGATAAGACGTCGCGCGGCCACAAATGCGGCCTCGCGGTTCCGGGAGCTGGATTTTATAGTCTCTGAGTCTTGGCCGTTGATGGGATTACACGGCGCCAGGGGGCCAGGTGGTGGGTGTGACCCCTGCCTACTGGGATTTGGAGGATCTGGGTGGAAGATGCTCGACTCCAATCCGAGTAGGCTTGGAGTCTTCTGCCCCCGCGCCTGGCTGTTCCTCGCCGAGGCCCCTTGGAGGGGAGCGGGTTGAGCTTTCCTCCCCGCCCCGACCAGGGCTCTGGCAGCTGAAGACCTCCAGGACCAGCCACCACCATGCTGAGACCACTCTCCGCACACATTAAGGTACTGGCAGAGGGACAAAGCCACGCGGGTTCCGGGGCCGAGATCTCCAACCTTCCATTATATTCAATATTTTTACACCGTACACCAGTTCCAGCACTATAACTTAGAATTTTAACACCACCATTCAGATCTGCCGATAAGGCACTGCTACACAATTTATTTTCTATATTTTATATTGCTTGCTATGAATTGCATAAGATATCACTTCTGGAATTCTAAAATTTTAATACTTCGTGTCTGGAAAGATCTCTGCAGTGAGTGAGCTGCCAGGTTCCAAGATTCTTTTTGTGTGACTCTGGATCATGGCCGGTAAGGAGTTTAAGTAGCAGCCAGGAGCAGTTGGGTGTTATTGCAGGGTCCCATCAGGGCGGGGGCCGGGGGGCGGGAACGAGAGGGACCAGTTCCTCCCCCATCCTATGAGGCCTGGAGTTTGCTGTTTGCTGTTATTGTTCCTGTGTACCTGGGCTTCTCATTGGGTTCTGGAATATGGCGGCTGCCGGGAATACTAGGAGACAGGCGGAGGGACAGCACTGCCCCCATCTGGAGTAGCCCAGTGAAAGTGCCTGTTGCAAAGTCTGGAGGCATCTTTGCAATAAGCTGATTGTTTCTGAGATTGTGTGTGTGTGTGTGTGTGTGTGTGTGTGTGTGTGTGTGTGTGTGTGTCCGTCCAGTCATCTATTCTTAAGCTCTTAGGTTGTTTCCAGATTTTTTAAAAAAATTGAAATCACTCAAACTGTACCCTCTCCCTCTCCCTCTTCCAAAGGAAGAGAGGAAGGTTCATCAACGGTAAAAGGAAATTGCAAAAGCAACATCTAGAACCAGCTTCATGCTCATAAACCACTCTTCCTTATCTTCCTTATCTTCCTTGTGGCTTTGGGTGCTCTACACAATCAGAGAAACTTCTCTAGTGATGAACTATATGCATGGTCCCTGCAACTATAGTCTTGGTGTTTCAACTTTGAAGATGCCTTTAACTTCAATATCATGGATGGTTTTGCCTGTGTTATCTTTGATGTACCTTACGTATTCAGGTCTGATGTTGAGAACTTTAATCCATTTTTTTTGCTCCGTTCGTTCCCTTCGTCCCTCCCTTCATCCCTTCTTCTTTCATCCCTCCCTCCTCCCTCCCTCCCTTCCTTCCTTTTTTCCCTTCCTTCCCCTCTTTTTATTTAGACACTTGGGAACCTTGTAAGTTTTAACATCAAGAGAACTTTTGATACAGTCTTAAACTGAAGAGAGGATAAGAACCAGTGAGTGTATTCAGTGTGGAACTGAGATCTTGGAGGGATCCACATTGCCACAGTGCAGAATGACTTTTAAAAAAAACAAATGGGTAAGATAAGCCTGGATCCTTGGCATGTGGATTTGCAGGATAAACTGAACAGGATTCCCTTGCATTGGGCATGTGTCTTTGGCAACTGAGAACTAGTGTCATTCCTAGTGGAGAAAAAGTGCCAGGCTAACCTCTGTGACCAGTTCATCAGGACAGCTCTGATCAATGTTTCTGCTGATCCCAATCTTGACATTCATGGCGACACTACCCTCTACTATACAGCCTGCAGTAATAATTCATTATTAGTAGAAAGGCTGCTAATTCATGATGCAGATATTGAAACAACAAACAAGTATGGCCATAGTCCTTTGATAAGTGCTTCAAGTGGGAAAAATGCAGATAGAGTTTTTAATAAAGATGGATGCAAATATAAATGTATTGAATAAGTTGAAAAAATGCCCCCATGCTTGCTGTATGTCATAACTCACTGGATATGATGAAGCTTTTTCTTGAGAAAAAATTGTAATTTCTCTTGCTATGATAGATTTGGATGGAATGTAGAAGAACAGCTATTCTCCATGATTGTCCTAGAATTCAAGCAATCTTTTCTATTACATATACAAGAAATAATAATGAAACATTCTCAAAAGAAGGATTCAGTCTCTTCCCATTGGAAGAGACGGAAGACAAGAGCAAGACTTTGTCTTTAGATAAGGATGCAGAGAGCAAGTCTCCTGGAAGTATTCCTTCAATCAGAACATTTGTCCATTATGATTTGTCTTTTATAATTTGTCTTTATAATGCCTTATTTTCATCTGATAATGAAACTGAAGAAGGCTCTTCAAGGCCAACAACCAATGAAGGAGGAAATGGATAAAAGTGGGAAACACACTTTTTCTGAGCAACCAATTCAGAGAAGAAATGTAGCGAATGTATGTGTAGAAGACAAGAAATAAATTGTATATTTATAAAGAAAAAACAAACAAACAAACAAAAATCCCTTGAATTGTAGAGTGATTATGTTACTTTTAAATTATATGACTGGGAAGAGGACTATAGATGATCACAGTTTATTCATTTGGTATCCCACTGAGATTTTCAGAATAACTGAGGATACAAGTTAAAAGTTAAAAGTTAAAAGTTTTGGGACTGGAGTGATAGCACAGTGGGTAGGGCGTTTGCCTTGCATGTGGCCGACCCAGGTTCGATTCCCAGCATCCCATATGGTCCCCTGAGCACCGCCAGGAGTAATTCCTGAGTTGAGTGCATGAACCAGGAGTAACCCCTGTGCATAACCAGGTGTGACCCCCCCCCAAAAAAAAGCAAAAAAAAAAAAAGAAGTTAAAAGTTTTTTTTTAACCCCCAGGGCTGGCCTTTCAGAAGTAAGGATTGTGGTAAAATAGGATTTCTAGATGTCTAACTATGTCTGTTGTAAAACTTTCTTTTTCTAAGTGGATTATAACTTCAGAAAAGCTATAGAGCTTCTGTGATGCTGATTCTTTGTTCTTAAAATAAAAGAAAAACACATACTATTTTGCATGGTATTGTGACGATCAAGTGAGAAAATGTATATGTATGCTTTTAGCACTGTAGCAGTGTCCTCCATTGTTCATCGATTTGCTCGAGCAGGCACCAGTAACATCTCCATTGTGAGACTTCTTGTTACTAGGGGAGCTTGCCAAGTAACAAGCAAGCTTGTGGGCGGGATACTCTCAGTAGCTTGATAGGCTCTCTGAGAGGGACAGAGTAATCGAACCCAGCTCGGCCGCGTGCAAGGCAAAATGTCATATATATATATATATGTATGCATATATATACACACACACACACACATATGTGCTAATTACAAGAAATAAAAAAATACGTAAAGGTTTTCTATCAAGAGATAATGATTTTTCAAGTAAAACTGTTTAAATTAACAGATGTAGGATTTATGAGTAACAATTTCCTAGCTTAAAGATTCTATGAATCTGGGTCATTATTCCAAAAGTAGATAAATTTTATTGTCAAGTTCATTTTTTTTACTTATACAGACTCAGCAATATTTACAAATTGATGATGCAATAGAAAGATGAACCATTGTATATCTGGATGAGTTTTTCAACTCAAGCAAATTAAAGCTGATGCATCCAGAGTCTTAATATTGATGGTAATTCTAAGTTTTGGTCCACTCAATCTGTTGATGCTTTCCACCTGGAGAGAGTTCCTGTTTTTATGTGTATTAAATAACAAAAGAATGGTTCCAAACTGTGAGTCAATTTATAAAACAGCAAGCTGCAACATATCTGAATACCACCTTCTCCACACCCACTCACCCTGTGCGCGCCCACACACACACACACACACACACACACACACACACACACACTTGTACGCACATACACACACATGCACAAAAGGCAACAAAGAGCTCTAGAAATGATTCTCAGCCATTAGTTAAAACTTGTTTTGGCTAGAGTACCTGAAGTAGAACTTAACTTTCAAGTAAAAAAGCTTCAAGATAAAATAAAAGGCACTATGATTGCTATATATCAGTATGTAATTTACAGAGATACATCCTATAAAAATATATTGGCTTAGGAATTATTTTTGATAAGCTTCTCTTCTAAAGTATAGAATAAATTAATATTTCATAATTAAATTTTTGCATAGTAAAATACCAAGAATATAGTAAAATAGCAATAATAAATTACCTCCCATTCTTTTAAAATTAAAAATTCCTAACAAAATATTTTAATGAACAAAATTTCATAGAGACTAGAACTTAAATATCATGATTCCTTAGTCAAATAGTTTATATATGTCTTATTATACTTACAAACATAACTTTGGAAACAAGTTTGCTTAAAACCCAATTTATCACATGTACTTCAATATTTCTTAGCATTCGTTTTAAATTTTTTAGAGTCAAAAATGTAATAGTTCAATTTTAAGGAAAAATGGCTGCATAAAATCAGAAATAACATTTATTCAATTGAATCTTAAAAATGGAATATGATACTACACTTTTATTATAATTCAAAATGACCCCATAATTCTGTGTAAGCTAGAATTTTACTTTCATCTGAAAATAAATATTTAATGAAGTTTCACAATTTTAACAAAATAAAACTATCGAGTAACATCTAGATTTATTTTCTTAGGATTTGATAAAGTGCCTGTTTAGTTTATTGTAACAATATGGTTTATGTATAGGAACTTTATTTGATCAACTGAAATATTAGTTTCTAATTTCTGATTTCGTAAAAAGAAATTGAAATGTGAAGTTATGTTATACTGTTTTAAACATGTTGAACAATAATATTAAGCTAATTTCATTCAAGATTAGTGCAATTATCCAATTGTTGCAGTCTACAAATGTGACCTTGGTCATTTGATCTACTATTTACTTTGCTAAAATAAACTGTCCTATTTGTGGAAGTTTGTCCCTTACAAAAGAATATTCCTTTAAACATTAAAAGTTTTATAATTAAGTGTTTTACTTTCATCCCTAGAAAAGGAAGAATACATTCAAATAATAATTATGCAACAACCCTATAGTAATAAGTATTCTCATATAAACACAATATTCTCAAGAGGGTATAAAAGGAAAGATGTCTTAAAAATTATGGTGATTTAATTTTATTTTGCCCTAGAATGACATTCTCTTGAGTATTTGTGAAAATGAAGATGAATATGCAGGGATACATTTGGTTGATTTTGTGCCAGATGGCCAGTTGCAGAGGCTGAACTAAGCTGAACTGATTGATTCGTTTTTGCCATATTGCATGCTGGCGCTTACCACAGTTCACATCATTCAAGTCGTAACATGTTTGGTAGGTTTGGCTTTTTAAAAAACTATTTAAAAAAACTTTCTTGGGATAACTTTTGCTTTAAAATACATCTTTTTCTCTATTATATGGTCAGTTCCACTAATCTTTCAAATGTAACTTTCATGTAAAAACTATGCTTCCAAGTATTATTGTGTGTGCCTAATTATTTAGTTCTCCCATATTCCAGTCAACACAAGTTGTTCCTAGGCTTTTTGATACATGCAATTCCTGCTGCAGTTAGGTGATATCTCTTTGTTGTCTCTATTTGGATTTCCCTAACAATAAATGACGATGGACACCTTTGTATATGCTTACTGGTCATCCATCTGTCTTCTTGAGAGACATGGTTATTCATTTTCTCCCCTCATTTTTATGAGGTATTGGATTTATGGGGTCATTGGTAGAAGGATACGGTCAGGGATGGTGGGGTTGGAGTTGGGAACATTGTATGTCTGAAACTCTTTTTAGTCAATCGCTTTGTACATCACCATGTCCAAATAAAAAGTTAAATAAAATTTAAAATATAATTCATATAATAAATATTCAGAGTAAACAAAAGTCAGCTGTATAAATTTGGGATGAAAAATTCATAGTGAATAATAATTTTGTTAAAGATTTCTTGGTCCATGATAACCTTAAAGGAATAAAGCATTTCCTAACTTCAGTGTGCTTGCATTCTCATAGCGAGAATTGGAAGAACACATGAGGCAAGTTAGTTTTAGTCACTTAAATACATACATCATAAATATTTTCTCATACTCTATATAAAATCCAAATGACTAAAAAGTGAAAATCGAGCCAAAGAGATAGTACAGTAGGTTAAGGTGCTTGCTTTGCATACAACCAACACAGGCTTGATCA